GATGTACCCTGCCCAGGGGCAATGGAGTGAGACAATCTCAAAAATAAAAAAAGAAAAGAAAAAGAAAAAGGAAACATGGGCTGTTCTGATTTCCTCTTGTTTGTATATTTTCTTTGCCTTTTTCCTTTATATCTTTTTTTAAAAAACCAATGTATACTGAATATTAATCTATATAAACTGAATACTTAATAAATGCTGTTGAAGTTATTTTGCGGGTTACATGTGACTGTAAGGTATATGGAGATTGGGAATGTGTTTTATTTATCTTTGAGTGCTCTCAGCACCTGGCATAGGTGCTCTCAGCACCTTGCATATAGTAAACCATAAATAAATTTTTTTGAATCAATGAATTAATTTGCTTTGTTTTATATGTATTTTGTTGCCAGAATAATGGATGAAAACTAGCTGGAAATATAAGGAAAATGAGCACTAATTGAAAAATATAATAATGCCTGTCACCCAAATCTGAGAGACTTATTATAACTACTTCTGATGCCTCATTAAAGATATTCTATTGTATTCAGAATCCATTTTCCTTCAGTAAATAATTTCTTAACTCCTTTACATTGCTATCAAAATGATCATTTCCAAATACAGATCTGATCCTGTCACTTCTTTATTTAAAAACTTCCAATGACTGCCTACTGACTGTGTGAGAGAGTCGAAATTCCTAACCATGGCACCAATGGTATTGTTTAATCTGGCCTCAGTCCAACTCTTTCTGGCCAAGCTACCCTACATGCTATCCATCCAGGAGTACTTGCAGTTTCTGGAACATGCTATACTCATTTGTGCTTCTGTGTCTTTGCTCATGCTGTTTTCTCCACTTAAATATCACTCCTCATCCCAAATCCATCTCTTCTATTGCCTTCTTCATGATCAAGAGACTATTCCTCAGGACACAACTCAGACACTTTCTCTGATAAATCAAAGGCTACACTGTCTCTCCTAAGATTAAATAATTGTACCATTTGTGGTACTCCTGTAGTATACTCATGCTCCATGTATTATAGTAGAGCTAATTGTACCTACATATAACACTCTCTCTTAGACTGTGAACTTTTTCTGTGGGAACTTCTTGATTTATATATTTCCTTTCCCATATTTGGGCTATGTCTTACATATCCTAGAAAGCTGTCATAGTGCCTGACACATAGTAAATCCTCAGGAAATGTTTGTAGTTTGAAATTAAAAAAAAAAACAAAAAAAAAAAACCACGGCTTATATTTCCATATTAAAAAAAAACAACACTTCTAAGTGTAATGAGGACTAAACTGGAAATCCTTAGAAGGTAGAAAAACTCTCTCAAAAGGGAAGACTTGAATATTTCTTCAAGGGCTGACTGGGAAAACTACATGAATTGTTTATTCATATTGAAACAAGTATGCATCTGTTACTCTTAGAAAAATATAAAGTGACTATTAACCTGAACATAGATGCTTTAGATTTGTGGTCTACAACCCTTTACCGGTCCACAGCCTGTTAGGAACTGGGCAGCACAGCAGGAGGTGAGTGTCAGGCTAGTGAGTGGAGCTTCATCTGTATTTATAGCTGTTCCCCATTGCTCCCCATCCCCCTGCACCCCTGATATCTTCCATGAAACTAGTCCATGGTGCCAAAAGGGTTGGGGACTGCTGCTTTAGACTGAGAAGCAGAATGCTCCATTTGGATATGCAAATCTTTGTGTGTGGTGGAGCTGAAGTAAGGCTTCTGCAGACATTGATACAGAAGAGAACGAAAAAATTGTTTCTTTCCTCTGTGGATTTAAAGCATACATGTGTCAATATTTTGTTGTTTCTATGGAGGTATGAATGTCCTTGTGTGAGCCCTTGCTCTTTGGAGAACAGAAGCTGAGACCTAATGGATACAGGAAAGCAAGGACAGACATTCTTATTGCTTACTGGAGCAATAATTATGCAAAGAGACTGGACTAGCTTTGATGAGGCTCTACCTTGACCTACATGTAAAGACTGAATAACTCAACCTTTGCGAGAAATGTGCTGATGTTGGGCCATTATGTTCTAATGTGATTGTCCTGTTGGACTGTTGGATCAGAGGTCAAGGTCATCCTCTGGGTGTGGAGGGTGGGGTTTCTTCTAAAAGAGTAGATTTCCATGGTCAGTCATTCTAGGAAGATGTAGCACCTAGGACAGAAAATGGGACTTTGAAAGTGGACCCTAACCTGGGTGAGGAGGGTTGTTTTCTCTGGTGATTGGGCCTAAACGCCCAAGACATGGTCAAGGGAACTCTTGCTGCAGAGGGGAAGCTGTCTGTGGACACATGGACCAGGCTGGAAGCTTGACAGTGAGGCAGGCCTGTATCTAGAACAGGAGGGCTTTGAGAATAGCCACATCAAACCTGCAAACACTTTATATTATTCTTCCTTTCTGAATATTGTTAGCAGTTACAGCCTGGTCTTGGCTGTACTGTGGGGAGAATTTGATGGGAAGGGCCTGTGTTTGTCACATCCTAGTAAAGAGAGGGCAGTGCTCCTTCCTGCCAAAACCCAAGGCAATGGCGAAGGCTGCATTGGGTAGAGAGAGCGAGAGATCAGTGTTCCAGAACAGCAGGGTATGGAACATCTGAAGCAGAGACAGGAATCAAACTGAGGAATACTTTGTTCAGTTATTTCAGGCATAAGTAGGAGATAGTACCTCTCCTGGGGACTACCTCATAGTAGATAAAGAATAGAAATTTAAAAAGAGATTTATATCCTGATAATTTGAAGGTGAGCATTCAGAGCCATTATAATTTAAATTTTTATTTTAAATATGGCCTCCTTTATATAAAAAGACACATGAAAGCTATGACACTCTAGTTCTTAAGGACAACATGAGACATTTTATTAAACAAATCCTTTGCATCCTGGGCATCCTGCTCAAGAGATTGAGGAAAATAAAGGCAATCCAAATATACCTCAGTTTGGTTTTGTATGAGACCTTTCTTTCTAGTTACCCTTAGGCTTCTTCTCATGAGCCTGTTGTAGAGGTGTACATCTAGATTCTTGGCTTTCTTCCATTAGTTTTCTATCCTCTCTTTTCCTCACACAAAGTGTTTGGTATTAGAGAGGAAGGGAGAATTTGCATCTGTCCCTGGGTATCATGCATAAGCAGGGATATATATCTAACTGGTCTTTCAATGAAGTGGGCATCTAAGCAGACATGATTTTCTTAGGCTGAGCAGGGATGCCACTTAACACATTGGCATAGCACAATCTCATCCCTGTTGATTGCATCTACTGCCATACTTTGACAAAAGACTGCATTCAGTTCCTTAGAGCTTTTCTGGATTCATGGTGCTTTGCCTTTTTATTCTAACAGCTGCTTATTTGCATAACCTGTTAAAGATACTTTCATACCATCACACTAATGGGCTTCCCCTAGCTTCTTGGACAGTATTTTTTGTTTTTGCTCTTGTAGATTCTGTAACAAACAACTTTTGCCTTCAAAAACGTTCTTCCTGTTTGAAATTTTTCATAATCTTCTCCCAGCTACATAACATAGCTAAACTTTATATTATAGAACATCACTTTAGCATATTAGACCTTACTGAAATTCTGAGTTTCTTCACAGATTTTCTTCTCTGGGATTTAAATGCTGTAAAATATCTATCAATTCCATTTACTTCAGTTCAGCATTTATTGAATACCTGTTATGCTTCAGGCATCAGACTACCTGCTGGGGTTACAAAGCAGAGGAGCTCATGCCTGGTTTTATGCCTTGAACACTTGACTCTAGTTCTAGTCTTATAACTAACTCTTCAGAATTGCATTGAAAAGAGAAACCTCCCAAGGCTATTAAATGGTACAAGCAAGACTGCAAACAATAAGAAGAGCAATCCAGGTTATTAAGGTGGGGGGGGGGAAGAAAGATCTCCCCATGCAAAGATTGGGAAAAAGAATCCAAAGACACTAGGGAAGAAGCATACTTTAAAGGTCAGATATTTTTCTAGGCTAATGTAGGGTTTCATTTTTGTTGTGTGTTATACCTATAAACAAGAACAGTATAAGTGAAAATAATAGGGAAGTATGCACATTTCATTATTTTAAATTAATATGTTTATTACAGCATTTATGTTCTACATAGACAGGATTTTTAAATAACATTTCCTTTTATCAAAATTCTTTGAGGAAGAATATGTCCCTTAAACGTAATGAAGTCTTGGTAAAGAACTTTAAATCTTTAGATGTGGGGTCACAAAGAGAAGGAAACAATTTTTTTCCTTTGGGATTTATAACTCCTGAAATACTGTAGTGTTTTGTTTAGGAAGTCTGAAGACATGATCCCAGTTCTAAAGGTGCAATAAAGATATCCCATCCATTGCCTCCTCTGCTTCCTATCAGCTGAAGGAAAATGCCTCAATCTCCTTTTGTCTTCTGAAAATAAAAGGAGGGAGGCAAAGGGTGTTAGAGTGCAGGGTTTTTTAGGGGTTAAACTGGGGTGCTTAAGAACCTCTGCAGTTCCCACAGTTTTTACTTAAGAGGCTCTTGTAAAGCGTAAAGCAGATGTTCCTCCAAATAAGAGGGCTGGAATACAGAGACTCGCCGGGAAGTCTTGGGGTGCAGCACAGGTTGGGGGGCAGCCGCCTGGTCTGTAGCGAAAGGTGCCCGCATTCTGCAGGTGCAGGGATTTTGATCTGGCACTCTGCCGCCTCCCCGCCCCGGCTCGCAAGAGGACTGGAGCCCCAGCGTTGCAGGGTGCGGGATTTGGCCCCTGAAACAGAGCTCAAACATATTCCAGGCAGCAGACATCAATCCAGCCAGGGGCCCACACCTGGCCCGGGGGAGGGGAAACGGCATCCAGGAGCCCCACGTTTGGGACGCTAGAGGGCCGGTCGGGCTTGGCTTGGTCCGAGTGCTTTCCGGTGATTGCTTCCCCAACCCGCCCATCATCCCAGTACCCTGTCTCGATTGGCTCTTTCGCCTGCCACTCGGTTCCGCCGCGCTGACCCCCATTGGCCCCCTCCGGCCGAGGCCCCGCCCCATGAGCTGGGCACGGGCGGTGGGGCACCGAGGAGACAGAGCTCGGCGCTTGGTCTGGGCTTTGGGGGGGAGGCGGTGGCAGCTGAGAGGGAGGAGAAGGAGGAGGAGCGGGGCCAGCAGGAGGCAGCGGCAGCTACCGGGCTGGGGTGATGGTGCAGGTGCCCGGGGTCGGCGCGGAGCTGCCGGGCTGAGGGGCGCCTGGTCCAGGGTCCGCAGCGCCGCCGCGTCGCTCTCGGGGGCGGGCGGGCGGGAAGATGCTGAGCAGGTTGATGAGCGGCAGCAGCAGGAGCCTGGAGCGCGAGTACAGCTGCACCGTGCGGCTGCTGGACGACAGCGAGTACACCTGCACCATTCAGGTCAGCGCTGCGCCGCCCCGCCCGGGGGACCCCCTAGTCCCCAGAGTCGGGCCAACTTGGCTGGCAGCCGCCGCCCGGGGGTCGCCCCAGCCCCAGCGCCGCGCTTTGTCCGTTTCTGGCTGCAGCGGACCGCCCGGTGCAGGGCGCTTTCTCCGGAGCCCCTGCCGGGGACCCGGCACCCGGTGCTAGGCGCCGCCGCGGGGCGAGTCCTCGCGTCCCGCACCCCCAGTTCCTCCCCTGTCCTCTCCCTGGGTGAGGGTGCCCCTTCCTGACTCCTCGAGCCCGCCCGGGTGGGGAGCACCTTCCGAGGGCGTCCGGAGGGAGGCGGGCGGGGCAGGAGGCTCCTAGCTTGGCCGCCCCGTCGGGGGGCGCAGGCTTCGGCTCTCCGGCTGGGCAAGGACGTCTGGCTGGCTTTTCTTATCTCTCTTTGGTTGGAAGGATAATGGTTTATGTCATAATTTCCCCCCCAGCATTTGTGAGTCAGAGCCTTCAGAAGGTAGAACTGAACGCGCAGCCCATGCAGAGTGGCCTATGGAAGGGAGCCCAGCCCTCTGGGCTTTGAAGATTTAGGGCCCCCTCCCGCCTTTCGAGCCACCAAACCTTATTGTGCTGGGTAGTTTTGGGGGGCGTGGGATAAAGATTTATCAACAAGTCCCAGCGATTTGGGGGTTGGCTGTGGCCGGGAAGAATCGGCGACTTACAAAAAACACCAACAATACGATAATGCTGCACAGCATTTACCTCAGAACCTGGTGTTTTTGAAGGGGTTTTTACAACCTTCACTACTGCTGTGTGGTACGTCAGGAGTAGTAGTCTTTCCCGGGAATGCAGTCACAGCCCTCTCTCTCCTCCTTTATAGAAAAGTCAGAGATTGAGAAAACATTGACGATGCTCTGGTGTTTGGTGTTTAGTTCATCAGCTGGGAGGATCCTGCGCTTTTACCGCCTGAAATTGCTCTTTGTGGAAAAGCAAATTGAGTTGGACCCGGAGGGGTCTCACCTGATCCCTTGCCTTTGCAGCATGAAACCAGAGGCTGTGCTGCTCGGCTCTGATGTGACAGACAAAAACTGTCGGCCTGGGTCCTACCCTTCTCAGTGTCTCCCTGCCCCCGCCCCCTTATTTATTTATTTTTGCTGACAGTGCTCAATAGCGGAAAATAGCGTTGTGTGAGAAAGACGCTGGGTCGTGTATGAGAGCAGCTGCTCTCTGCTGACTCCGTGCTCAGTTCAGCTTTCTCGCCACTTTCCCTTTTCTCTCCCTCCCCTGCCCCCAAAACCAGCTCTGGGCATAAGTGCTGACTCCTGCCAAAGATCCATGAGGGTAGAGAAGGAACACAAGATCTCTTTTTTAAGGTCACTTAAATACAGATTAAGCAGTCATAAAGATGCTAGCCATCAAGTGAAAGGATTTTTGTGGTTGAATATGATAGAGAGATGCTATGTATTATTTCCTTACTGAATGAGTGGCATACCACTTTTTGTTTCTATTGTATCATTGTGCCATGTACAGTTTTTTGTCTTTTTCTTTTGGTGGGATAGGAGAAAACTTCAAATTGACATCTTCACCATTTGAATATTCATACATTGTCAAGATCTTTTAAAGTCTTTATCCTTTTGTTTTAAAATTTAAAGCATTTACACAATAGCATATGAAGAGCAGTGACTTCGTGAGTCCTAATAATACTTTGGGGTATGTGGTAAAATAAGATTTCTGGGGAAGATCATTAACTTTTGCCAAGGTATAAAGTACAAATGAAACACAATTCACATCACTATTCTGCTAGAAATGATTGATAACCTGGTGGTTTTAAGGTATCACACAATAAGGCATCGAGTTATGTTTTTCCCAGTTAGTGGAACCTTTGAGTTTGGTTGATTGGTGTTATAATTGTGGGTAGTTTTTTATTAGTGTTGAGAAAAGAATATTTTTAAGTTAAACAGGACTTAGTGGATTTATGCTTGCTATATCCTACTATGGGTGTATTTATTTTCCTACTGCTCCTATTTTACATTATTGCAATTTAATGTCATAAAAAATCTATGCCACTTTTTAAACATTAAGATGGGTGTAATATGGCCACACTGTAGTAACTGTCCATTATTTAGACATGTTAATGATTGTGCATTGTGATTCTTATATAGAATCTAAAAAACACAGGATTTCTAAAGTGTATGTAATGTTGTCATTCTTTGACACCACTATTGTGAATTGCTTTTGTTTTTACCCATGTGGGGAAATGTAGAAAAAGGACAATATCGAAATTAACATTTTTTGCATATTGTTTTCCTGAGTATTTAGAAATTGACCTTTTCTTAGCAAGTTTTCTCCTTGTACATTTCTGTAGTGTGTGTGTGTGTGTGTGTGTGTGTGTGTGTGCGCGCGCGCGCGCATGCATGCGTGTGCTCATTTGTCAAGCACTGGGCACAGTCTTTTGAATCGGTATAGAAAGGATCTGTGAGCTTCTTACTAGGTTAAGCAATATTCCCAACATTTTAGGCATTTGCAGTACTGTATATTTAAAAAAAATTTTGGTGGTAATTTGAACTCCTTTTCCTTAAAGTGTTGTATGTCATATTTTTGTTTAAATAAGGCTATCTATTTAAAAAATATTTTAGTGCCTCTTGAGATAACCAGAGACCATTTAGGGTATTATAGAATCAGAAATGTATCACTGGGTTGGAGTTATGATAGCTACATTTGGTAAATATCAGTTGTAGGAAATTCTGTCAAAGTATTGGTCTGTCTTTTCATAATGCAGCAGTAATACTGATCTGGCATTTAGGATGTGATATTAATGTAATGAAAATGCCTTATATCTTCTCAATGAAGGTTGCCACAGTTACCAGTCTATTTTCTTTCATTCTTTCTGATATGCAAATGTATTTGTAGAACCTGAGAAATGAAAGTATACATGGGAGGGTTGTAGTATAATTGCTCTCCTGTGAAGAACATTGTTAACAGCTCCCTGCCAGTGTTGAAGGTCATTGCTTCATAAATGCAGGTCTGGTACACTCATCTATTTTTCAGTCATCTGTTTCATTTATATTTACTTACCACATTTGCCATCTTACTTAATTTTATTTGGAAGAAAATAGGGGAAATGAAAAATGAAAAGGCTACCTAATATCTTTGAACTCAGTATACTGAATGGAGTCATTTAAATGCTTAGGTGTATAATATCTTAAGGAATAGATTTTTTTTTAAGACATGGGATCTTGCTATGTTGCCCAGGTTGGACTCAAACTCCTGGGCTCAAGTGATCTTCCTGTCTCAGCTTCCTGAGTAGCTGGGACTATAGGCATGCATTGCTGTGCCCAGCTTCTGAGGAATAAATTTTTAACTATCTTTCAGGTTATGATAGTTTACAAATTATTAAGAATATATATTGCAGAATTTCCAGTAGAGATATTTATTAAAAATATATTTTCAAATCAAATATATTAATCACTTTTTTGTGATTACTGAAAGGTGAAGCTACTTTAGAAATGACTTTGATTTTACTGGGGACACATTGATATAGCTGATTAAGCAGTCAGGTTAAATTTTGCAGTTAAATAAGATACTATCATAAATAAAATGTTATACAGAGACAGTTCTACAGTGGAACCAATATTTGGATTTGATTGTGGCTCAACCATTCAGTAACTGTAGGATCTATGGTAAAGGAGGAAGGGAGAGAACAAATGTGTTAAGCTTTGTGCTTGCAAGGCATTCTATATGTGGTATCTTATTTACTTCTCAGCAGCATTATGGATTGATTATATATCCATTGTACCCGGTGAAGAAAGTGGGATTGTAGGTTGGTAGGAGAGTTGATGGTGTGAGTTGAAGGGCTATGAAATAAACATTCTGGTTGGTCCTTTGCTTACGCCTTACCTCAAACATTTGAGAGGTAGGTAGTATAATACCTATTTTACAAATGAAAAGAACTGATCCAGGAGGCCAAAGGAACTTGCTGAAAGTTACTGGGTGGCCATACTATATAATATATGTATATATATTTTAAAATTTATTTATTTATTTATTTTTAGACAGAGTCTTGCTTTGTTGCCTAGGCTAGAGTGAGTACCGTGGCGTTAGCCTAGCTCACAGCAACCTCAAACTCCTGGGCTCAAGCAATCCTTCTGCCTCAGCCTCCCAAGTAGCTGGGACTACAGGCATGCGCCACCATGTCCAGCTAATTTTTTCTATATATATTAGTTGGCCAATTAATTTCTTTCTATTTATAGTAGAGACGGGGTCTCGCTCTTGCTCAGGCTGGTTTTGAACTCCTGACCTCGAGCAATCCGCCCGCCTCGGCCTCCCAGAGAGCTAGGATTACAGGCGTGAGCCACCGCGCCCGGCCTAAATTTATTTTTTAAAATTTCAGAATATTATGGGGGTAAAAATGTTTTATATAAATTGCTTTTGTACCATTTGAGTCAAAGTTCTAAGTGTGCTCATCCCGCAAATAGTGTACATGTGAATTTACCCACCTCTTCCCACCTGCTTGATTTCTAATGAATGTTATTTCTGTATGTGTACATAAAAAATATTGATTGATTAGTTCCAATTTAATGGTGAGTATATGTGGTGTTTGTTTTCCCATTCTTGCAATACTTCACTTAGGAAAATGGTCTCCATCTCCATCCAGGTTAATATAATGATATGCTCTCATATCTAGAAAACCCCAGAGATTCTGCCAAGAGACTACTGGAATTGATAAATAAATTCAGCAAAGTCTCAGGTTACAAAATCAATGTACACTAATCAGTAGCATTCATATATGCCAAGAACAGTCAAGCTGAGAACCATATCAAAGACTCAATATCATTCCAATAGCAACAAAGAAAATAAAATACTTAGGAATATATTTAAGGAGGTGAAAGACTTCTGTAGGGAGAACTATAAAAGACTGAGGAAGAAAATAGCAGAAGTCATAAACAGATGGAAAAACATACCATGCTCATGGATTGGTAGAATCAACATTGTTAAAATGTCTATATTACCCAAAGTGATCT